CTGCACTTGTTATGTACATATCCCAAGTGTCCAGAGACATAAATTTGAACCAAAAGCCTACAAGTGTATCTTCCTTGGTTATTCCCCCACACAGAAGGGTTACTGTTGTTTTGATCTGAAGACTGGCACTCATTATGTCTCAATGGATGTCACCTTTGATGAGCTTTCTTCCTTTTATGGTTCTTCTCTTGTCCTAGTTGAGTCTCTTCCTCCTTCAAATGAGTCAAGGGAGGATCAGTCACTTCACTCTCATTCTAGTATTCCTATTTATCCTCCTTTACCTCATCGTCCTCTTTTTAGTCCCAGGTTGTACCAACGGCCGAGAACTAGAAATGAGTAGATTGTTTCCCCTCCAACTCATGAGCCTCATGCACTTCTAGTTACAGATGAGACAACAGGTACTGTTACAGCCCCTTTGGAGCGATCGTTCCCAGACCTTGATATCCCCATTGTTATTAGGAAAGGAAAAAGGAAGTGTACTGCACATTGCATTTCCAAACACCTTTCTTATAGTTTGCTCTCTCCATATTTTGCCTACCTTTCTTCTGTTGCTTCTAACCCAATTCCCAGGTCTGTGTCAGAAGCTCTTACTATTCCAGAATGGAGGGATGCTATGAGAACAGAAATTGATGCCCTGCACAAGAATGACACTTGGGAAGTGGTTGATTTGCCTGAAGGGAAGGATCCAATAGGCTGTAAGTGGGTTTTTACTATCAAATATCATGTTGATGGCACCATTGAAAGGTACAAGGCTAGGCTGGTTGCAAAAGGCTATACAAAGACATATGAGATTGATTATCTGGAGACCTTTGCCTCTGTTGCCAAGATGATTTCTATGAGAGTTCTGCCATCTTTGGCTGCACACTCAGATTGGCCACTTTATCAACTCGATGTAAAGAATGCATTTCTGAATGGAGAGTTACATGAGGAGGTCTATATGTCTCTTCCTTCAAGGATGTATGAAACAAATATGAAAGGAAAGGTCTATAGGCTGAAGAAATCTCTTTATGGACTCAAACAGTCCCCTAGAGCATGGTTTGAAAGGTTTAGGGCTGCCCTTGTTAGCTTTGGCTATGTATAGACACAGTCTGATCATACCCTCTTTGTGAAGAGAGGATCCTTGGCTGTTTACCTGATTGTGTATGTTGATGATATTGTTGTGACTGGTAATGATGTCTCAGGGATTAATGATCTCAAATCTTTCCTTTGTACAGAGTTTGAGATCAAAGATCTGGGGGAATTGAGATACTTTCTTGGCATAGAAGTTGCTAGATCCAAGGATGGAATCCTTATCTCTTAGAGAAAGTATGTTCTTGATTTGCTCTCTGAAATAGGGAAGATGGGTGCTAGACCAATTGCTACTCCTATCGATATGTGCCATAAAATCTCTACTTAAGATGGAATATTGTTAGAAGATAAGGGAGTCCTCCAGAGACTACTTGGAAAACTTCTTTATCTATGCATGACTCGGCCAGACATTGCATATGCTGTCAGTTGCATCAGTCAGTTCATGCATGCTCCCAGGGATACTCACATGGCAGCAGCAGAGCGGATTCTGTGTTATTTGAAGGGCTCCCCTGGAAAGGGAATTCTATTTGCTAAGCATAGCCATATGAAACTTGAAGCCTACATAGATGCTGACTGGGCCGGAAACATTGATGAYMGAARATCTACCTCTGGGTACTGTAGCTTGGTGGCAGGTAATATTGTCTCTTGGAGAAGCAAGAAACAATCAGTTRTTGCTCGATCTTCAGCCGAAGCAGAATACAAAGCCATGGCTCATGGAGTTTCTGAACTATTGTGGCTTAGATCCTTGATGGAGGAACTGGGTATTGAGCATGATAAGCCAATGATGTTATACTGTGATAATCAGGCCGCCATCAACATTGCTCACAACCCAATGCAACATGATAGAACTAAGCATATTGAAGTTGACAAATACTTCATTCGAGAAAGAGTAGCTTCTGGAGAAGTGTGTCTACCTTTCATCACCTCTGAAGGACAGTTAGTTGATTTCCTCACCAAGGGCATTCCCAAGGCTAAACTTCAACATGATACTGGCAAGCTTTGCATGATTGACATTTATGCTCTGCTTGAGGGGGAGTGTAGAGAAGATGGGCCGAATGGCCCATAGGCTATTTATCCTTTTTATCTTTTATGTTCTTTGCTGTAATGGCCCTTAATCTGGGCTATATTCTTTCTTATGTTATGTCTTTTGAATTTTCTACCTAACTAGGGACTTCTCTGTAAATTACTAAAGTTTAACTTAATGAAATAGAATTAAGGGAGTAAGAGAAGGGATTATGTTAGAAAATCTCTCTCTCTGAACCCAAGTTGCCGCCACTTTCTTCTTCTTCTTCTCTCCTCTTGAATTTTGATTTCTGCTACTTTCTTTTGAATTTTTGCAACTTTCTAAACAGTCATTTCTTCTCAAAAGGCTGTTTTTCTTCTGCCCCAACTCTTTTAATCATTGAATCCCTAACACCACATCAGCTCCATAGAATTCCAGCGGGTAAAAATCCACTCGGAATTCACACCCTTGCATCTGTAACTTGAGCCCTTCGCATATTCCATCACACCGTATACAGTTACCATCAGCTACATGGGCGGAGAACGGGACGATCAGTTCAATTGCTAGCCCCAACTGCTTAGCCAGCACAGCGGTAATGAAATTCCGAGTACTACCACTGTCGATTAATACTGCAATCCGTTGGCCCATAAGCCGGCCCATCAATCGCATGGTCTGGGCTGAGTGTGTCCTTGTTAGAGCTTGTAATGAAATGGCTGGCTCTCCTGGTTCCCCTAATTGGCTCGGTTCATCCGTGTCATCGGCCCAGTCATCTTCACCTCAGGGTCGATTTGTAAGGTGAACACTTGATGTTGCTTGCACTTATGTCCAAGGGAGAATTTCTCATCGCAGTTGTAGCAGAGGCCTCATTCCCTACGAGCCTCCATTTCCAGCCATGAGAGCTTCTTCAGAGGAATTGGTTGCCTTGGTGGTCGAACCTTCAGGACGATTGAGTGGAGTCTTCAAGATCGGTCCTGTGCCTCGGTTTATTTTCCTCAAGCTATTTAGCCTGTCTTCGTGGAGTCTTGCCAGTCCAACAGCTACGGATATGGTGGTAGGTTGCATGGCCTTCACCTCTACTCGTATTTCGTCTCGGAGACCGCCAATGAAACATCATACGAGCGCATTCTCCGGCCAGCCATACACTCTCATTGCCAGTCGCTCAAATGCAACCTGGTATTCCCGTACCGTGCCTTCTTGTCGCAACTTCGACAGAGCTTCGTCAAAGTTTTCGAAAGAGGAAGGTCCAAAACGGATACATAGGGCTTCCGAAAACTCTTTCCACGTCATCTGAGGATGCGTTCGTTTGTACCATTGGAACCAGTTGATCGCCTCTCCTTCTAAGTACAATGAAGCGATCGCTACTCTCTGATGGCTCGCGATCTCCTGGATATCAAAGTATCGCTCTGCTCTGTAGATCCAAGAAAGAGGATCTTCTCCATTGAAAGCCAGAAAATCCACTATGACCTGGCGGTGATTATTTCTGCCGAGCCGGCGAGAACTGTCTTGAGCTCTCGTCATCGTTTTCTTTGCTGTTTGGTGATGCATTCATCTTCTCACACTGTGACATCACTGCTGAGATCGCTTCCTTGACTCTCGCAGGTCGCCGGAGAACTTGTGTAGATTGACCTCAATTAGATCCACTCTCTCTTCTACCGACACTGATCTGGTCTGCGGCATGGACAACCACTTCTCTGGACGAAACCTCAAGTTCTGATACCAGAATTGATGAGAGCCTGCTCACCACAGGAGTCTTCTTCGAGGGAGACTCTGCCTCCTGAAATCAGAAAATAGAGAGGGAGAGAGAGAGAAAGACTCTGAAATGGCTCGATGCCTTTCTCATTGTTTCATGGGCTATTTATAGATGTCGGTTACCCCTCTTTAGCCATAATGGGCTATCTTGCGAGGTCCCTGATTATACACTAGTTTAATGGGTCTAAATGGGCCATCACATTTCTGTTATTATCAACAGTTCCATCAAAATGACAATCAACTTCCAACCTAAGGCAAAAAAAAAAAAAAGAAAAAAAGAAAAAAAAAGAACAAAGAAAAAAAGAGAAAGACTTTGGAAATGACTAGGATTCATCAAAAGGGTGAAATTTTATGAAAAAAGAGCTGTGACATTTCATTGGTTTTGACTGTATGACGGAGCTGGAAAATCTCAAACTGTTCTCCCCCTATGCATGTGGTGAAATTTTAGGTGTTTGTTCTTCTTCTTAGTACAGTATTGTTGGACCAAAGATTAACCAAGAAATAAGGGTGTGCTTATCCATTGGGAATCTAAGAATACTCAACTGGAGACTGGCGAGACCAAGAAGGATATTTAGATTTTTTTGTGGCACCATTTCTGACTAATGAAGCATTAGATAGGAAGAAACTGCTATACAAAGCAAGTAGATGGAAATTTCCTTAAATTTATCATTACTGATGGAGGAGTCTTTTGTCTTTTCACTAGAGGGGTGCATGGATTGCAAAACATGGGATGTGCCAAATCAGCACAGTACTTTTTCTTTTTGGAATTTCCAACTACTAACGCTGTTCTAAGCGTAAAGTTATCCCTTTTCTGGTTCTTTTCAAAACATATGATATTTCAGTTACCATTTATATAATGTTACATGTACTGCATACCTGTTTATTTTATGATAACTAAAAAATGGTGTTCATCAGTTTATATTTATACTTCTATAACTTAGTCTGTTGATGAAACTGAATTAATGCTTTAATACTTGTCTGTCATAATCCTTCAAAATGAACTATATGGACCATCTATCTTTTGGATTTGTCAAATCAACATTTCCAGAAGTCTCATATCTATTTAATGTTATATGTCTCTGAAAATTCTCGTTATTTTGTTGGACTTGTCAGTCACCAACTCCTTATAAGAAGTTACATATAATGAAACCTGAGAATAACAAAGAACAATTTCTTCCAGGTGGTTGATGGGGCATATGATGGGGTAAAGCTCAGCTCTACCAACCAAGCAGTTCTTTCAGAGAGTGGGCTTGGGAAGAATAGAGGCTACAATGTACCCTTGGAAATAAAGCCAGCTGGACAATTTGAGCCACTATACAAAACAACACTTAGTGTGCAGGTTCCTTCATGTCATATCCCTTACATGGATCTAGTTGTGGCTATCAATGTCTTTTAAAGTTGAGTAATTCATAACTTCATATTTGTTCTCTTTCGAAGGATGGAGAGTTGCCAGTTCTTCCACTATCTGTTTATGGAGCAGTTGCTATGGCACACAGTGAAGTCTCTGAGGAGTACTCTTCACCATACCAGTTTTTCTTCTATCTCTATGATAAGAGAAATGTAAGTCCTAACTCCCTTTTGGTATTTATTATGAGAGTTTTATAATCAATACTTATTTCTTGCTTATGGTCTTCTAGCATGATTTAGACTTAAGGGGCAACTAAGAGGAAACAGAAGATGAAACTCCTTGAATTTATTTTCCATCTGATTTGAGGATGATCTTCTTGTAGTAATTAATTGTGCCAAACATTATTCCCACAGGCTGGTTTAGGAGGCTTGTCTTTTGATGAAGGTCAATTTTCAGTTTTTGGGTATGCCTCCATCTCGTATATGAACATTTTCCTTTTTGGGGCATTGTCTTCTTTTAACAGGTTGAGCATTTTCCATTTTCACTTATTTTGGTTGACTTGATCAACTGCAATTCCTTGAATATACAGATATACAACTGTGGGGAGAGATATACTTCCACAAATTAAAACAGGAGATGTGATCCAATCTGCAAAGCTAGTGGAAGGTCGTGATCGCCTCATATTGCCAGATGAAAATTGATCTCTGCTTCCAAAAAGGGTTACCATTCATTTTTCAATGTTACTTCTCAAAAAGCATTATTTGATTTCTTAGAATAGTTTTTTCCCATCTTCTGTAAATCTTCTGTTTTCACCCATCTTTGTAAAACTAGTACATTGGTCTTAAGAATGAAATGGCTGGAAAGAGATCTGGGGAGCAGTTAGATACTTAGATGGGGAAAGCTTCTTCCTTATTTGCTGATCTGTACTTTGTAGACACCGAGACTCGGACCATAAATGATACTTGAAATGAAATCATTGAGAGGTGGCTAGAGCCTGGAGCTACTCACGCTTTTGATATTATAAATTGCTTTTCCCCCCAAAATTGGAATACTGTTTATTAGAAAATTTACATTAGATACAACTCCCTCATTCTCAACGAAGTCAGGCATCAATATCCTGAGCACGTTGTCCATGCGTCAGATTTGCCCATACTATGGGCTACACACATGACATCAATGACGTCGTCTGCTTGGGCTTCTTCCTTGACACCAAGGCTTAGTTCAGGGAGAGTGCTAATACAAATATGTTCATTACAAAACCTTCTTTACTGTATCTCTAAACATGTACTTCACTCTTCCCAAACTGAGCCCACATCTTTTTCTAGGCGAGGCGACCAATATATCTATCAAAAGGTTTTGAAGCTCAATTGAACTCAATGCTTTGTGTTTGTGAGCTACCCATCCAGGCATCCAGAAGGTCGCATTACCAATGGAATGCCCAAAGTTATTTTATACTACATTGTGGGTTCTGGCATTTCTTAAGAAAAAAAGCCGTCTTTTTCATATAATCATCTCTGAGGTTTCGTTTGTCTGCAATAGCAATACAAATTTATTTTATACTAGTACAAATGTATAGGAGTGCAAATAAAGAATGCAAACTCTATTTATTTTTGCTAAAGTAATTTTTTTTACCAGTAACCCTTTGAAATTGAATCTGGATTTACTCCTCACAGGCACAGCACTTTCAATGCACGGCTGCGATGTGCTGCAAGGTTGGTGTAAGTAAGGAACGCTCCGGGAGGAGAAAATCTGATTTCGGTGAAACTGACTTTGCTTTTTAGAATCTCTTCTAGAACCTTGGCATGACACGCATTCTAAGCTAAACCGTAAGTCGGCATTCAACATTCATGCAGGCTTTGACAAGATAGGATATCATGACCACCTGGAAAATCACAATTATCTTCAGTCATTCTAGAACTACAAGTCTAGAACTACCAATATTGTTGATGGTGTGATTATGGGCTACAATATTGCTGTATGGAAGTCATATCAATTCTACTGGGTATCAACTTAATGAAGAACACAGTTTATGGTACTAAATCAATGTAGAACAGTAGAAGTATACTTGGTCACTAGAGAATAGAGATCAAATGCATGAAGAGTGCCCAAAAAATAACTCTTGAAACCAAAAAAAGAGTCATTTTTGCAGCTATGCAATGAAAGAACTACCAAAAGTAAAAGTTAGCCACCCCCAACCCCAAAGGTTCATGAGATGTTTCTTTTGCAAGTACACTACAGATTTTGTGTTTCAGTAGCAGACCTTTCTTTGATTGGTAAGAAACAGTAATGCATTCTAAACTTGATAATTTGCAGAAAGCAATGACAAGAAAATAATAGAGCTGAACCTCCATAGCCCTGGAACCAAAATGATGATAATAAAATCTCAATTGACAGAAGACAAATATTCAACCTGCAACTTCTCCACCGCTTCTGTGGTTCAACCAAGACAAGATATCACCACGAACAATCTCAACATTCTCATCTGTCTCTCCAAACAGCAAAGAGTGCATCATTCCTTCATATATTCTTATAGTCTTGTCCTCACTCTTGGCAGCTTCATAAAGAGCTCTGCTTACTTCTGGGTCAGTCACAACATCTGCACTCCCATGTAAAACAAGAAAAGGGAGGCTCACATCGCAGAGCCTTCTGTTCAGGTAATCAGTAATCCGTAAAAGCTCCACCACAGTGCCCAATCTTGGCTTCCCCTGGTACCTCATCGGATTCTTTCCCCCAATAATCTTCTTTTCTGGAACCTTAACGGACTTATCAAGAAGATCGGCTGTGGGAACGATTGGCAATGTGGGCATGAATTTCGCAAAGAAAATGAGGATATCAGGAATTGGCCATCTGGGTCTCACCTTTTCAGAGATTCTACACATGGGCGCAACCAAAATGGCACCGTTCCAGGCCTTGGGGTCTCTGAAATGAATCAAGAGACAAATGGCTCCACCCATCGATTCTCCGTAGAGAAAGGAAGGTAATCCTTGATATTCGGGCTTCTCTTTAATCGAATTGAAGAAGGAGAAGATATCGTCAACGACGAGGTCGACGTTAGGGACAAATCCCTTGAGGCCCTCGGAGCGGCCATGGCCTTCGAGGTCAAGAGCAAAGGAGGCGAAACCCTTCTGCGCAAGGAAGATTGGGGTGGACTGAAAGGTCCAGCTGATGTCGTTGCCGTATCCATGAACCATACAGACGATGCCACGTGGATGGGAGGAGAGTGGCAGCCATGATCGGATGAAGAGGGAGAGGCCTCTGGGAGAGGTATAGAACGATTTGGATCCACGGATGCCTTTAGATTTGTAGTAATCTTCCTCTGATTCCGGGGTGCTTCCCCAAAAATGGAGGCGTTCATGGGGGTCCTCCATCTTTGGAGAAGGTTGGGACTCGGGAGATGTTAGACGTCTGTACTGTTTCGCCTGTCTGTCGAAAGACTCTGTTTCCGTCATTCTGTGTTTAGAAAATAAAACCTGACTGCGTCTGCGGTTGGAATGGAAGGTTAAGTTGGCCTATCGGTGTTGGAAACTTGGAATTGGCTGGGCTACAAGAATCTGTAGTTCTGTACTGTAAATTCCGACCTGGTTCGGACTTTGAGTGTCCGTTTGGTTTTGCGCAGCGTGAGATGAAGGAAAACAAATGGTTACCCATAAAAATGTTATCCTAGGGTGTTTGGTTGCGTGTAAAACTGCCTTTGGTAAATATTTTCCAAAATGTGAGTGACGGGAGTAACGGGACAGGAATGGCAAAAGTGGAAAATGACATTTGGGCTCCCTTTGGAAAGAGTGCAAATGCCGTTCAGTGCATACTTGCACTCAGTTTTGTTTGTATTTGACGAAAATTCATTTATGTACCGAAAGTGATAGTTTTCACAAATTTCAGCTCATGTTTGCATCTGAAACGGGAGAAAAGTTTACATTGAAAAAAGGATTTAAACTTTTGCATTCAAAGTAGATTATTGTTAAAAAGATATTTTCTAGCCTTACTATTTGTGTTTGCACCTATTGCAATATAAATTTATCAATGCAAAATTAAATTTATATAAATTTATATAGATTAAAATGCACTCTATATATTTGCATTTATATTCTATTTGCACTCTTTCGGCCTTTCCAAATGGAGCCTTACTCTATTTACTTTTTTTTTTTTTTGTATTGGTTTCAAAAGTCATTTTCTGTGTTTTTTGACCAACCCCAATAATCTCGAAATGGAATTCTCTGATTTGTCCACCTTTTTTTTTTGAGCTGGGCCATAGATTTATCTCTCCAACCTTTTGCAGAATTTATGATTTTTAACCTAGGGGCCCGTTCAATGACTATATAAGGAATTGAGAAATGCTCCTCATGATATGCACCTCACTCTGACCTCACAAGCACATTCCATTGTGCATTGGGAACATCTCCCATGAATAATAACATATAAGTACGGGATATGTTCCTGATACATGGTAGGATGTGCCGGTGAGGTCAGTGTGAAGAGCGCTGTGTGAAGAACAGATCCAGACTTGTCTCTAAGTGAATGGCTTTTTTTTTTTTTTTTGGCTACAGGAAGTGAATGACTTATTACTTTGTTTTATTGTGGATAAAATAATTTAATAATAAAACATTCAAATATATTTTAATCAACCTAACTTCGGCTTTACAATCTCCTTAGTTCACTATAAAGACAAACAATAAACCATTTAGGGTGTGTTTGGACTGTGATTAAAATTAGAATCCAAATATCCTGAAATTGGAATTGGAGTTTTGTTTATTACCCCTGCTTGTTTAGTTCAGACGAGAATTGGAATTGCATTCCATAAGATGTGTATGATTCCTAAGAAGGGTTAGCATGGGTAAAGAGAAATAGGGTTTGGGGGTCTTAAGTTATTAGTCTTTTTCTTTTTTGGGCCAATTAAAGGGGAGGTTGGAATGACCATTCCCTCAAATGGAAAAATGCCATTCATTCCAACCAAATGGCTCAATTGAAATGGGCCATTTTTTTTGGCAATCAAAAGCATAAAAATCATTCATTACTGGAATTATTGTACACCAGTTCCTCCTGATTACATACATCAACATTTTCATCAAAACATGTATGATATGCTAACATATGAGCTAAAGCATTGTGATGTCTACTAATATGTATAAATTAACTTAACCTGATCCATAGTATTTACAATATGCTAACAATTGAGCTCATTGTCTTTGCCTGCTAACTTCTCAATTATAGTTTGAGCATTAGATAATATAGTGACCTTGGTGTAGCCCAACTGTTGTGTTGTTTTTGAGACCTTGGATTATGCTCCATAGTTCTGCATCATAACTTCCTCTGGCTTTGCATTTTTTACCCTCTGTTGCAATAATGGAGTTTTGAATGGAGAGTATAACAAAACCATAGCTAGCATTACTAGTTGCAGAATCAAAAGACCCATCAGTGAACGCTTCAATTGCGGGCTCTTCTTGTGTTTGACCCTGATTTGTCTCATCATTTTGGTCCAGTTGCTCCGGTTGCTATTGCTCCTGCTTAAGCATGTAATGCTGAGCTTTACAAACCAGAGTTTGTGGGTCAATGAATTTATTTTGAAACACTCCATCGTTTCTTGCATCCCATATTAATCTCATGATAATGCAAATTTGCGCAAAAAGATTATATTTTTCTTTCTTGTTAAGTGAGGAAGGAAGATTATTCCACCACTCCTCAACAATTAATGATGTCTAGAGGTTTTTGAGCAACGTGTTCAGGATTGATTCCCAGCTGTGCATGACACCAAACAACTTTTGAGAAAGGGCAAAGGAAAAATAAGTGGTGGAAATTTTCTGAATGCTACTTGCTAGGGCACAACTTGTGTCCTCCTCTTTGTATTTATGTTTTATTTTATCTTTTGTGATAACACCACCCCAATAAGCCTTCCAAGTAAAAACTTGAAATCTTTTTGGTACTCCAGATTCTGGACCATTTGATAGAGGAGTTTGATGATGTTGGTTGTTGATGTAGGAAAGCCAAATAAGCAGACTTTACTGTATATTTTCCTTGTTTGTTCTGACTCCATAAGCTTGTATCAGAATGATCCCTATGGCTTAGGGGTACCTGAAGAATGTGCATTGCAGATATCTCATAAAAAATGTCTCTGACTTTGTCTATATCCCAACTTCCATCATCTTTTATTAGATCTGAAACCATGCATCTGACCCGTGAATGCCCCAAGGTGGCATTTGGTATTGGTATTTTACCTGCTAAAGTGGGGACCCAAGGATCAGTTAGAGCATTTGCCTTGTGACCATCCTTGACTTTCTAGCAAGTATTTGCTTTAAAAATTTTCACCATTTTCCTTGCTTGCCTCTACCAATTTGAGCCTTGCTTTGTGAGCTTCTCGTCAAAGAAACTACTATTTGGGTAGTACTTTGTTTTTATCATTGCAACCTACAAATTGTTTTCTTCATTTAAGAGTTTCCAGACTTGCTTTCCAAATAAAGCCAAGTTCATCTTTCTTCCTTTTCGAAAACCCAAACCTCTTTCGTGCTTTTGTTTGCAGAATTTGTCCCAAGCAATTGAATGTAATTTCTTCTTTTCTATATCATTTCCCTACCAGAAATCCCTTTCTCTTCTTTCTATATCTCTCAGTATCTGAGATGGAAATATAGAAGTTGAAATTGTGTATATGGGAATCGCTTAAGCTACAACCTTGATCAAAGTTGTCCTTCCAGCTTGCGACAACAGCTTTGCTTTCCAAGCACACAATTTATTTTGCACTCTCTCCTCTATTTCTTTAAACTGATGTTGATCTCTGCAAGTTGTATAGATATGAGAGCCCAAATATTTTTCTTTGGATCCCAACGCTCTCATCCCCATGTATCTCATTAACATCCTTCTATGCCTGTGATGTACATTTTTGCTAAAATACATTCTACACTTAGTGAAATTGATTTTTTATCCTGAAAATTTTTCAAAAGATGTAAGAGCTTGCTTCAAATGGAAGAGGTTTTCCTTATCATCCTTACAAAAGATCATACAATCATTAGCAAAAAATAAATGTGTGATGTTTAGATTTGAGCTAGCAATTTTATATCCTTCAATATTCCCTCCTGCAGTTTCTCTTTCCAAAATTGTTGAGAGTACCTGCATCTCCAAGATGAAAAGGTATGGGGAGATTGGATCCCCTACCAAAGACCCCTTTTTATTTTAAAATGCCTAAAAATGCCACCATTCAATTTTATTGCAAAAGTAGGAGTACTAATACACTGATGCACTAGATTACACCATTTCTGCCGGAAGCCTATCTTTCTCATCCCTGCCATCAAGAACTGCCATCCCATTCTATCATATGCTTTTGACATATCAATTTTGATGGCTACCTACCTTTTTCCTTTCTTTTTCTTATTCATCTTGTGAATAATTTCCTTTGCTAGCAAAATGTGATATGCTATTTGTCTTCCTTTCAAGAAACCAACTTGGTTTAGGGAGACTATTTCTTGTAATATTGGTTATAACCTCCCCACCATCCATTTGGTTATTATTTTATATACTACATTACAAAGGCTTATAGGTCTATACTAAAGTGCTGATTCAAGGCTTTTACACTTAGGTATAAAAACTAAGGGCCTATCTCTTAAGAGTAATCTTTTAATTTTAAGAGAAAAATGGTTGTTCGTTTCCTCTTATTTCTTATCTCTTAAAGTGCAATCATACAATTTTTTGTTTTCCAATGATTCCTCCAAAAAGACAAACAAAAACTCTCATATATGGGATTAAAATGGATATTTGATAATTTTCAGAATTCAGAATTCAGAATGCAGAACAATATTCTCTGCATTTAGAGTTTAGAGGAAAGAAAAGTTCACCAATACCAATATACCTCTTAACGTAATTATTGCACTTTCAGATGTCAGACTCCAGAGCAAACAAATAGGCCCTAAGTTTGTGTTGTTCCACCCTGTCAATAGAGACTCACAATGAAAAAATTCCACCACTAATTGATAGATGTCCTCCCCCAATAAGTTCCAATATTTTTGAAAGAAAAATGCTATAAAACCATCTGGTCCTGGTATTTATGTGGATTCATTGATTTCACAACATTAAGAACCTCTTCTTTAATTGTCCCCTCCTCCAACATAGAGACATGTTTTCTATTCAAACTTGGTAAGTTAAGATTTTGGATCCATGACTCTTGAAAATCTTCTTTTACATCCCCTACTGACTGAATAGCTTTTTCAAACACCTTAGTTATTTCCTTCTTTTTCATCAACCATTCCCCCATACTTCCTTTTATTCCTTGAACTCCTTGTGTTCTCCTTTTAAACTTGATCATTTGATGGAAAAAATTTGTATTTTTATCCCCGTCTTTCAACCACAATACCCTAGACTTCAACCTCCACATCTTCTTGTTTTGCCAACCACATGTTATATTGTTCTTGACAATTCTTTAAGAGCCCTTGAATTTCTTCTTGTTCATCCTTGAAGAGCAATTCTTGTATTTTTGAATCAAGTTCTTTCAACTTTTCCTCAATCCATAATCCACAATCAAGTTATTTTGGAATTTCAGTTGTGCCTTGCATTTTTTTTTTTAATTTCACAATAATATTGTAAGCTTTAGAGCCCCTTCTATTTTGTCTCCAAACATTTTCAATAATTTTAGGACAGTCTTGGTGTTCAGTCCACAAGGGCAATAAATGAAGTTGAGATTTAACACACTCTGTATTAG